ATGGCTTAAGATATTAACTGGAGACTTGTTAGAGATGATAGAACTTGACTTTTAGATTGGAGAGGGCACCTTTTCGTCTGTCGTCGGCACTTCCGGTCGCTTACGGAAGTGATCAAAGAAATCGTTAAATTTCAACTTTCCTTTTTTAAATCAATTCTTACATCATTTTATTGCATCTCTTTTGTAGTTTTGAAATATGTTGGTCCCACCGGAAACAAAAACGTCAACTTCCGGTTATAAGAGGAAAACGACATAATTTGAGTATTTTTCTTTCCCATTAATATCTATTGTAGATAAAGTATTTGGAATGAATTTTAAACATGTTATTCAGACAGATAATGTCTAGAGTAACCTCAAATATCTTTCAAAAATTCACTTCCGGTCGCGTGTTTTTCTGTCCTCAAAATGAGAAGTTGTCTGAGCAAGATCTCGGAAACGGTAAGAGATTAAGACACCAGACTTATATGAGTAACAGACCTTAAGATGTAGCAAAAACCATTTGGGTTCAGAGCGTCAGCCGTCACTTCCGGTCGTCACAGGAAGTGATCAAAGAAATCGAAAATTTCAACTTTTCTTTTTTATTTAAAGATTGCATCACTTTATTGCATCTTTTTCGCAGATTCGAAAGATGTTGGTCCCACCGGAAACAAAAACGACAACTTCCGGTAATAAGAGAAAAACTACAAAATTTGAGTATTTTACTTTCCTATAAATATTCTTTATAGATAACGTATTGGAAATGAATTTTAAATATGTTATTCAGACTGCAAAGGTCTAGAGTAAACTTAAATATCTTTCAGAAATTCACTTCCGGTCGCGTGTTTTTCTGTCCTCAAAATGAAAAATTGTCTGAGCGAGATCTCAAAAACAGGTAAAAGATTAAAACACCAAATTCTTATGAGTAGCAGACCTTGAGGAGTAGGCAAAACCATTTTGGTAAACGTCCGTCGTAACTTCCGGTCGTCACAGGAAGTGATCAAAGAAATCAAATATTTTAACTTTTCTTTTTTAAATTAAAGTTTGCATCACTTTATTGCATCTCTTTCGCTGTTTTGAAACATGTTAGATTCCACCGGAAACAAAAACGTCTACTTCCGGTTTTAGGTGATAAGCTACGTTACTTCGATATTTAACCTTCTCATAAATATTGCTTATCGATAAAGTACTTGAAATGTTTTTATGCATTTTGTAGATACTGCAAATGTATAGAAAAACGTCAGAGATTTTTTATAAAATTCACTTCCGGTCGCGTGTTTACCTGTCCTCAGAATTAGAAATTGCTCGGCAACAGTAAACGACTGAAGTCTAAAACTTTCAGAACTGATAGTCAGTCATCAGTTTATTTGAATCGCGAGGAAATCTTGTATCGCCGTTACTTCTGGTCGTGACAGGAAGTGATGCAAAAAAGTGAATGGTTAATGGTTAGCACGTTGGATTTTCACCCTGACAACCAGGGTTAAATCTCCAAAGTGTCTGATTTTCTTTTATCACCTTTTCAGCTTGAATTTACATTTTTACTTTCAAAATCGGACGGAAGACCTCTCATTGCTCGCAATGAGTTTCTAGTTTTTTATTATATTTCTTGTTTGCTTTTTTCTTCCTGGCGGGTAGATTTTTAAATTTTGACAGAAACAAAACAAAATTGCTGTGGCCTAACAATTGATTGCCAAATTGAAATCCCGATACATACAATTCAATGTTTCTAAGTTAAAGCCCCACTGATAAGCTATCGGAATACATCTGTACGTTCACATGTATTTGATTTCACAACTTATCACCACAACCACGGTGGTAAATTGATTTGTACTTTTTAAAAAGTTATTTTTACTTTACGAGGGGTTATCAAAAAGTTCGTGGACTGATGCGATAAAATTAATGCTATGTAGTTGTTGATTAAAAAATTTGTAGGGAACATAAAACAACAAAAGTTTAAGAAGTGTTGAAAATTTCAGCTTGATGTGTTGATAATTAGCCAAATTATCATTAAATAAAAAGGGCATTATATGATCACCCGGCGCTGTCGCCGTTTAGTTTCATGACGTCCGACAACGTCATTATTTCTCAATACCCGCTCCTTCTGCCTCAATGCACATATCTTGATGAGATTCTCTGGAGAAAAGTAAAGACCTAAACCCGTCTTGTTTATATGATCTTACAATGTCATGAACACCTGAATTCAATGTATTAATATTGTAATTATTAAATCTATACATAGGAAAAAATCCTCGCTTGATTTTGCCAGCATAATTTTCTTGCCGGAGTTCAAGCAATGATCAACGTCACTTTTCGACGTGTCTGACTTAGGACATCCTGACTACAAATCGACATTAACCGTGTGTCTCTTTTCTTGCTGAATCTGTTTTGGTATTTAAACACAAGTACTCTGGATGTATCTTATTTCTCTGTAGCCTGTTTAAACATTTTCTAAGTCTATGTCAGGTTTTCCAGGGGCTGAAACTGTATAGAATGTTGTAAAATGACACCCTCCCCCTTTCGACGTCATTTTTAACCCCTTTATTGTTTGGACATTCCCTATAAAATTTACGATAAAATTTCATAGAATATACAGAATAAGGTAAAAATTGCAACTTTTACGGAAAAATTTGTCATATCACATTAGTGAATTAATGGGATTTTCGGATGACAAATGCTCATTTTAGAAGAGTTTTTCTCAGTCACACTCAGGTAGAAAATACGTCATGTTCGAGGTTGCGCCGCCTTGACATACCATTGCTTACAAAAACATTAACGATTCACTAAAAAAAAAAAGTAAAACTTATGATTTTTATTTTATTTTACAGATAGAAAAGAAGGTGCTTATTTAATGTTTAAAAATTCATTGATGTATCTTAAGCGGTTTTAATTTTAAAACGCTAGTCCATGAACTTTTTGATAACCCTCGTATTTTTATTTTTTTTTTAATTATTCCATCATTCTTGTTGTTGAAAACCCATTCTTGTTTTGAAATGTAATTGTATTGTGTTGTGGTTATACTGATAGAAACGTTAATCATGCTATGTTAACACTAGAGGCCCATACGCCTTGACAGTCACCTGAGTATCAAGGGTTTTTCCGGCAATGAGCACTTTGAGCCCACTTGGACCAGTACTGGTCTGGACTTAACGTGACAAACTTTTTACCATTTGATGAGGATTCGTTTAATCATGTCATATTCATGAAGCTTGTCTCCTAGAAGTACAGGAGCAAAGTTAATAAAGTATACTGTATAATAAATTTCAATAAATGCCCAACTTAACCGCCATCCTTGTGATGATGCCTGGCACCAAGAAGCATCAGTTTTATAATTTTTGTTAAGGGCTAGCTGCTTATTATATATAATCATGCAAACAATTTACCTTTTACATGTCCCCGCGTAAATAAATAAGATTTTTTAAGGTGTAATATATTTCAATACATGACTAACTTAGCCCCACTTTTGGGCCTGAACACTAAACAAAAGGAGGTATAAATTTTACTATTTTGGTTTGTTTGTTTGGTGGATTGGTTGCTTAACTTCCCTTCAAGATTTTTTTACTCATATTGAGACATCACCACTTACTGGTACTCGGCACCTAGGTCATTGAGCAGTGAGGGATCTTTTTCGTGCCAGCACCTACTGCGACACGGGACCTCGGTTTATACGATCTCATCCGAAGGACGGGTCTCCACGTCGCACAGTGGGATTCGAACCCGCGAGGTAAGGATCAACTCCTTACGCCGCGAATCTAGAGCAAACGCTTCACCACTGCGCCACGCGAGCGACTACTATTTTGGTAAAGGGTAGAGTATCACTGCAGTCATACAAACACTCTGTATGATACATACCCATGGGTAAAGAAGAAACTTGTAATGTATTTTCAAAATAATTATGACCATTTTAACTAGGGCAAAAACTGTTTGCTACAATGGGGCCATGAATTTCAAAATTTTGGTAGAGGACTAAGTACTCTTTATAATCATGTAAATTGTTTATTTGTTATATATTCATGAATTTCATGAAAGAAGAACGATATTTTCAAGTTTTTTGTATTTTCAAAATTTAACCAACATACTAGTAACCTCACCATGGGACCTGAACGCTAGAACAAAGGGACATTGATAAAATTTTGGTAAAGGGTTATGCACTCATTGTAATCATTTAACAAGATTGCCGACTATATGTCATTTAGAGAAGAAGGTTTTCGAGGAAATGTAATGAATGTTCATATATATGACCAATTTAGCCCCACCCTAGAACCTCAACCATGGGCATAGGGGCAATAAAATTTCACAAATTTATTAAAAGACGAATTGTTCATTATAATCATTAATTTGCCTGTTAATTATCCATATACAACTTGTATATATGTCAATATACATGTATCAAGAAAGGTTCCATGTTTGCCTATCCTAAAAGTATTTTCATATCCAACTGTTAAAATAACATTTTTTGTTATCCACTTTTATTATTTTTTTTATTCAAGTTAAACATAAAATAACTTTTGTAAATTTATATTTGATCCCATTTAACTTTGCATACCATTTGTAGTCTAAAACCTGACTTGGCCATTTTAGAAGAGTCCCCTTTGAAGGAATAAAAGGCTGCTGCAGGTATAGCTCTATCGTATATATAGCTCTATCGTGTCGATGATGTGTGAAATTCAAGGATATTATTTGGTACATTAAAGTTTAAAATTTGTACAGCTTCACAATTATATATATAATTATATTTTTTAAAGAAAACACTCTTCGATGGGAATTGTTCGAAGAAACCTAAGAAATTGGGGGGGGGGGGGCGGAGGGGGGGGGTCGATAAGAATTATATGAAGATATCTAAGGAATAGCCGTTTGTAATTCAGTTTACCGAATATGTTTCTTATGCAGGTATATTTTGAAATAGTTTCAAGGGGAAGGAAAGGAGAGTGTTAGAAGAGGCAAAATGACGCGTCAAATGTGACTGCATGATGCCGTAGCATCCAATGAATTTACCCTTACAGGCCTACGGGTTAATAGAAACTTACTTGCATGATGATGTCGTGGCTCTGGTAAGGTGGCAACAGATTTCCAAGTGTTTGACGTCAAATTAAATGCCATGACATCATCATTGACCGAGTCGCACTTGTATCTCGGTGCACCGCCAATGACCACCAAAAGGTTAGAAACATGTTGGTTTCTGGGAACCGTACGTGGAGACTGTAACGAGAAATTTCATAATATGCATCCTATCTCTATGAGTATTTTATGTGATTGATATAATGAATTATTTTTTTTTAAAAAGCTTTACTCACAAGATCTTCATAAAGCTACATAAATTGTATTCTTTTACAGCAATTTAGGGAATGTACATGTAGTAGTGTGTATGTTGCTAAGAGTTCTATGGAAGCTTTACATTGCAGAGGAAATGTGATATACAATAGCATTGCTGAATGCCAACCTGTAGAACTGTTTGTCTGTAGGGAATACAGTGATAATGTAGCGCCTCCTGAACAAGCCCTTGGCATTCTGGGATATCCATTAAATAAGCGATGCTTTCCACAGAATCCATAATGGCGGCAGGTGAAAGTAGAGGGAGTCGAATGGTTGCCATAAGTTCGGCAGCATGTTCGATGCGTTCATTTTTCCTGTGCTCCAGCCATTCTATAAATCGTTTGAAAACTTCAAGTTCACTGTCTACATTCAGATCATCTCTCTGAAGAGAAAATTAAGAGTATGTTTAACATAAGTACAGTAAAACACGCTTATAACAAAGTGCCAGGAATGAACATTAAACATAATTCATTATATCCGATAAGTTCATTATACGTTTTCAAACAACTAGGAATGAAAATCACTTTACTGTTAGCGTGAATTTATAATAAAAGTGTGTTCGCTTTAATCGCGGTTTACTGTATTAATGTATTTTAAAGATATCCTCTGTATTTATGTATTTTAAAGATGTCCTCGCAAAGAAAGCTCTATCCTTAAAAATTGATAAGATTTTTTTTCAGATCGCCATCTGAAAGGCTAGTTTAAGGCTAACTTTTTAAAAAAGTTTTGAAAAACAGACTGGATGGAATATTTTCATTCACATTTTCTTATATGATTGTTCTCTTTCGTGTGAATCTAAATTAACAATGCAGTAATAATGTCAAAGGATTTTTCGACAATTATTTTCATTGCTGTTTATTATTTTATGTAACGCCTAGTTTGGATATATGAAAGATTGAAAAAGAGAGAAATCTCGTGTTTGACTGATGAGTGTAAGTTTTGAGAGTGATGCAGATAAGCACCAGGAAGGATAAACAGAATATATTCTGATAACAGTACAGTGTACTTAGAGCTAAGGTCTCATCAAAGAACAGTTACTTTTGCTGATTTTTTTTTTATTGAAAGACTGATATGGATATATGCGAAACATCCCGAGGAAAATTGGAGTGTTGAGTGAAGTTCTTTAATTGCAAGCTAATTAATTTTGCTTTTAAATAAAAATATAACTGTCCTACAATACATTGCATTGTAATGCTTGATGCACTGTCTAATTAAAACATACTTGGTCAATTTTTATTATTAGGGAAAACAGTGAAAAAATATATAAACTTTCCTGTTTGACTGATGAGTGAATATTTTGAGACTCAAACAAAGCGCCGATGACTTTGTAGAACAATCAAAGACGCTTTTCAATACTGCTCAGCAGTACTTGTTTAGTGAGATAAACTCACACTAAGTCCTTTACACGCGACATTACCGTTATTTACTCTGACTTTAACACATGGTCGTTTGTGAATGTCTCTCTAACGTCTTATATATAGTATACAAGCCTGTTACTCGTTAGCATTGCTTAAACATTTACATAATATAAAGCAGAAATCAATGATCGTTTTGTCTACGTTGTTCAAAGGGACCTAATTAGAGTTATCGAACTTTGAAACAAAACTTACATTATGCAAATTTCCAAATAAACATTCAATGACAAGGACAAAATGTATATTAAAGCTGTCTTTGGAGGGTGGATGGTGGGGAATATTCCTAATACATTGACAAGTTAAATAATTGTGCTTGCTTAAATTCAAGTACAATTGCACCATACTGCACTCTGCTGCAATACAATGCGATACATTTTTATGCCTGCCAAATTGTCCAATCAAAATTAACTTAGTCAATTTTTTTTTCTGAATTGAATTTTAAAAATGATTGAATACACACATTTTTTTTTCATTTTATGCTTTGAAAAAAAAAAGGTTTCAAAAACAGACTAGAGAGCATTTCTTTTAGTCTCATATTCTAAATATTTGTTTTCTTTGATATGAATCAGAATTAACAATCAGTAATTAAGTCGAAGGACTTTCGCAAAGTTACGTGTTGCTGTTTTGTTTTTTCTTTAATCGAATGACTAGTTTGGGTATGCGCAAAAGATCCAAAAGAAATGAACACTCCTTTTTGACTGATGAGTGGATTTTTTTTGTTTGCAAGAGAATTTATATTGTTTACCATTCTAAGAATTTAACTGCATTTTATTGCACTGCACTACAATGCAATGTCAATCAATAAAATGAAGTCCATTTTTGTTTTACATTATGGTATTGAATAAAAAGGTGTAAATTAACATATTTTCTAATATATTTTTATTTTTAAAAAAGTTTTGAAAAGCAGACTGGATGGAATATTTTCATTCACATTTTCTTATATGATTGTTCTCTTCCGTATGAATCTAAATTAACAATGCAGTAATAATGTCGAAGGATTTTTCGACAATTATTTTCATTGCTGTTTATTATTTTATGTAACGCCTAGTTTGGGTATATGAAAGATTGAAAAAGAGAGAAGTCTCGTGTTTGACTGATGAGTGTAAGTTTTGAGAGTGATGCAGATAAGCACCAGGAAGGATAAACAGAATATATTCTGATAACAGTACTTAGAGCTAAGGTCTCATCAAAGAACAGTTACTTTTGCTGATTTTTTTTATTGAAAGACTGATATGGATATATGCGAAACATCCCGAGGAAAATTGGAGTGTCGAGTGAAGTTCTTTAATTGCAAGCTAATTAATTTTGCTTTTAAATAAAAATATAACTGTCCTACAATACATTGCATTGTAATGCCTGATGCAATGTCTAATTAAAACATACTTGGTCAATTCTTATTTTTAGAGAAAACAGTGAAAAAAAATATGAACTTTCCTGTTTGACTGATGAGTGAATATTTTGAGACTCAAACAAAGCGCCGATGACTTTGTAGAACAATCAAAGACGCTTTTCAATACTGCTCAGCAGTACTTGTTTAGTGAGATAAGCTCACACTAAGTCCTTTACACGCGACATTACCGTTATTTACTCTGACTTTAACACATGGTCGTTTGTGAATGTCTCTCTAACGTCTTATATATAGTATACAAGCCTGTTACTCGTTAGCATTGCTTAAACATTTACATAATATAAAGCAGAAATCAATGATCGTTTTGTCTACGTTGTTCAAAGGGACCTAATTAGAGTTATCGAACTTTGAAACAAAACTTACATTATGCAAATTTCCAAATAAACATTCAATGACAAGGACAAAATGTATATTAAAGCTGTCTTTGGAGGGTGGATGGTGGGGAATATTCCTAATACATTGACAAGTTAAATAATTGTGCTTGCTTAAATTCAAGTACAATTGCACCACACTGCACTCTGCTGCAATACAATGCGATACATTTTTATGCCTGCCAAATTGTCCAATCAAAATTAAAAGGTTTCAAAAACAGACTAGAGAGCATTTCTTTTAGTCTCATATTCTAAATATTTGTTTTCTTTGATATGAATCAAAATTAACAATCAGTAATTAAGTCGAAGGACTTTCGCAAAGTTACGTGTTGCTGTTTTGTTTTGTTTTGTTTTTTTTTTAGGTTCTGTTTTGTTTTTTGTTTTTTTTATCGAATGACTAGTTTGGGTATGCGCAAAAGATCCAGAAGAAATGAACACTCCTTTTTGACTGATGAGTGGATTTTTTTTATCTTCGAAAGATTTCTTTCAAAAATTTATTAATGGTAGCTGCATTTATCAAGAAATATAGAAAACAGTTCCCTTAGTTTTGCTAGGCTTTCCAACAGAATACATTTTGCCATCATATTCAAATTTCTATTGATGAATTTTATGAATAAGCGTATATGTATCGAATTTAATCAAACTTGCACAATATAAAGTCAAAATAAAATCAAAACGTTGCATGAATAATAAAATTTATTTATCATTACATTGACATTTTTTTAAAATTCTTTTTTGGTAAATGTGATGCGAAATATATCATATCCTATTAAAAATCTTACTGCCACCCACCTGGTCAACAAACGATCGACAAAAAAAGTACACACACCGCAAAAAAAAAAAATTCCTGAAATATAAATATAAATGCACACTTTTTTCTCGCAAGCAGTATGATACAGACTGAACAAAGGAGAGAGAAGATATACTCCCGATAAGTATTTTACACAAAAATCTGCATTTGTCTTGACCTACGACTTACATCTTTACTAAGGGGTAGTCTTTGGGAGAATTATGAGCAAGATAAAGCCAAGGGGAGATAAGAAATGCTCCGGACAGAGATTTCACACAGAAATCTGCTATGACCTTGACCTCTGATCTAGAGACTTGGTTTCTTGTTATAGATAAGTTTAAATTGATAAATTTTAAACTTTTAATGTAACACATGTATAATAAATGGAATTTACAAACCTTCAACAAAGCAATCATCTGTTCAACCGGGAGCTCTTTAAATCTTGATCTTTTTGAAATAACTTTAAAATATTTTGCCGCTAGTTCTAAAGCCTTTTCTGTAAGTTTATCAAGGTTAAAACTGAAAGCTCTGTCAATCATTTTCAGACAATTCTTAAGACGTGTGTTCTCTACTAGAAATTCCTCGCACGCATCCTGTATCAGATAAAAACCTAGTCGAGAAGCAGCATGCAGCGTTCCTTCAATGGTCTCTTCCGACACTTGCAGTTTTCCTGTGTACATACATAACAATATATTCTGAAATATATTTGCTTCGATTTCAAGATGACTGATGTCCATTTCTCTTTCATCGTAAAGCTGATCGACGAAAATGTCGTAAAAATAATCAGAGCAAGTGACCAACAGCGAACGATGGGCATCAAATGCTCGACCCTGGCAAATTATGATGATGTCACACAAAATATTCTGTCGCCAAAGCACTTCAAATCCATTCAGGACAGTTTCTGACAGATTTTGGACATTTTTTGTTCTCCGTCCGCGTTCCTCAACTACTTTATTTTGCCGGCGCCTTTCAATTAACAACTCTTTGTACGAATAACAAGTTGTTTTTCGCATTCTGGGTTTAGATTGATGGGCTCTTGCAATCATTGTTAGGTTTCCATTCTACTAGTACCTTTATGACGTCAGGAAACTGTTACGTTAACAACAATTCTTGATTGTGACGTCATTATTTTACCTAACCTTGGGTATACCAAGCCATGATATTAGTTTACCCCTCAATTAAATCTAGAAGACCTATTCAAAACAACTTTTAGTTGTTTTATTTGATATTTGGTTGGCAAGTTCGCAATTTCGAGGAATCAGTTTTAATATGATTTAAAGACACTCTTCAACAACAAAGATCACACAATCTGCAACTGCCATGTAATTTTCTAAGACTAAAAAATATCTGCAAACTTTTACTACCCCAAGAATTATTGTGTCTATGCAATCTACACTATTTCTTTTCATCTTTTACCTTTATTAAAGATAAATACAAACATATTTCATTTCAGCAGTCTATACATTCATGGGGCGTCTGGGTATAATAACCATAGATACACCTGCTCGAAGAATGCTGGATATTCTGTTAGAATATGTTGACGGAATAAGTGTACAAATAAGTGAAAGCGAGGAAAATTTATCAATTTATTTACAGATAATTATAAATAAAGAAATATCACACTGGACGGAAAATTCGGTTAAAAAGTCATAAACCAAAATATCTCCAAACACATAATCGTTATTTCTGGAAAAATGGCGACCATCCCATTGATCCTGGTGTCTGAAATAAGAAATTAGATTTCCTTTTTGTATTTGGTGCACATTCTAGTACATACGAACTCAGACTAATGTAAATTATTATTTGGTTTGTTTTATAAGAATGATACTAAGGAAACGAAAAGGGTTGATAATATTTATATACACATACATGTATCTATGCAAAATGAAATAGGAAATAATTACATTAAATCTTAATGAGTTTTATTTCAATCATGCAAAAAATTGTTTTGTTTAAATGAGATATAATCTGTAGAGAAATGTTGCTTTTTGTGAAGTTATATGCAGACTTTCCTACAATATGTAAAATCCCTCATAAAAACTGCAGAAGTAGGCGCCTGAAAATTAATAATAAACGTCCAACAGACTGAGGACACTTAAAATACAGAATGTAATTAATAATATATTAATAATATATTAAATTGAGACTAAGAGGTGTCATCCTTTAAAAAAAAGAGAACTACCTACCTATTAGATTGCAAAGAAAACATTGATAACTTTATTTTTGAAATAATCTTGCTGACGTTTCAAAAGTGAAAATTCCTGTACGGACAGTGACGCATAGAACGGTTTCTATTGCAAACAGAATTTATATTTAGGTATTCTGGTATTACGGTATTCTGTCCATGTGTCGTTTACCGATTTTTATTTGAAAATTAAAATCGTGTACTTATCTTAATTTTCAAATAAAGGTCGGTAAACGACGCGTGCACCGCCCAAATTCAATTAAGTTGCCCCAATGGTCATTTACAAAATGTTCACTATATTCCATACCTAATATTCGGTAGTTTGCAATCAAGCACTTTAAAAACATTGAAATTTATGACTGGCACAACTTCACTGAATTTGGACGCATACTCTTTGATCTATATATGTACATGCGTAGCTAGAGCTAAGACCTTGCCAAATGGCATTTTAATTATTAACTAATTTCGCCTCTTGCATAAAATCTGCGGTTTTAAATCAGTTTGTAATTAATCACCATTCTTCCATTCTTTGGCTGAGAAGGAAAAATACAAATGATCATTTTTTTTTACACAAATATATGGACCAGTGACCAAAACTTACTACATAGCTGCCCCCCCCCCCCCTCTCCCCCACCCTTCCTCCCCCAAAAACTTGGAAGTGGAAATGTATAAACCTTGCAGATTTGTTTACATGTATAATTTTGCTACATTTTTTAAAAGCAAAACTAACACCATTAAACGTGGGCGTCAAGCTTAGATGCAATTAAAGCAATAATGTATCTTTTGGTAACGGAATTAACTATTCCAACGTACATACCCCTGACAATAGCGGGTGGTTATGCCAAATAGAGAGAACCAACATTGCCGGTAATTTACGACAGAAATAAACTCGACGAAGCTCTGTGAACTGTGTCAGTTCAGTACTTTGAACAAATTAATCAACATTTATTGGCCACCTGTCAATGAAACAATTGTTCGAACACACGTATTTTTGGCTGCAGATCTTAACTTCAAGCATTTCCGTCCATTCATGTCGGTTATATTACACTTTCACTCTGCTCAAAAATAAAAACCAATTCCATATAGCACACATTTTTTCCGATCGTGTCGCGCCAAGTTTATTGGACAGGAAAATTGAAAGTCCCATGTGTTACCCATAAATCATACACATTACAAAACACAACACGGTGTCGCCTCTAACTAGAATTGTGGCGTCCAGTCCAAAGCAATGAAGAAAAAAAGGATACAGAGCTGAATGGTGAAAAAGACCGATCTATTCTAATTCAAAGAGTTTGAAATAACTTGAATTAAAAGACATAATTTAACATAGACAGAGAGAAACTTTCCCATAAAAATACATATTTCTTCAGTTACCTTTTGTTGAAATCAAGTGCGTGTTATATATTTATTGGATTTACAAACATGATTTCAATTCAAAAATCCCCCCCCCCCCCCGAGACGACGTTTTTTCGATATTAAATTAGTTGACCACAGAGTTTTCAGTTTCATTACAATCATATTGTAAAATATGAATTAACTAGGCAAGACTTAAACTATTATTGGAATGAATAAAATGAAAATACAAATAGGATATTTTAGCCCTGAACTGAAAGATTAATTTTTGCAAGAAAATAATAGTAGATTTATGTAAAGTACTAAGATAATGTTCTAAATTTTGAATTTACTCCCACCCAGTAAATTCAAAATTTAGAACATGACAATAACATTGCAAGTCATGCTGACAATAGAAAGACTAAAAAAATGCTTATACTTATAAGCATTACTACAAAAATGTGAAAGTAAAGTTTTTTGATTCTTTAATGAAAAAGCATATATAGCCTAGTGAATGAAAAGCAGGCAGGATATACAACATCCAAAAGGTCCTAGCTGTATTAGAAACAAACCTGATATCACTCAATAATCCATTATGAAAGTTAACTGTTTTTTCACTGAAAGAAATATTTGTTTAAAAAGGTTATGTAATTTAGAAGTTTATTTTGCAATAGTGCGACTGGCATTGTACTTAATTTGAATTTAAGAAAAACATACATTCAATGAAATACATGTACTGGTATATGCTTATTTGACATTTATGGCTTGTAATTTTGTAGAATGTTCATCTTCAATGTAAAATTGTTACATTTCCTCACAAAATGACCTACTGGTAATTCATAAATGCACAAATGTACTGTTAAATAAGTAGAATGTCTACCTCTGTCAGAGACATGCTCTCTGTTTTATTGCATAATAATAATACCTGCTCTGCTTTGGGACATTTTCATCAGAATTAGAACAGAATATACCGGTACCGCTGTTAGTGGTATTTTAATGATTAAACAATCCTAAAAATGTTAATGCCAATGAATATTTAAGATAAAAAAATCACATTTTTACCTACTTTTAATGTATGTCCTAGTTACACATGTTATTAAAACAAACTTTGGTCTGCATGAGCATTATTAACTTTAATGCTCTAAATAAACAAAACTATAATTTTTGCAATTTTACAAATAAATATTATACTTTAATTGAGCAGTTTAACTTTTAATCCAGTACCTATGTAATGATATGAAGATAACAATACATACCTGAGAGAAATTCCTCACATACTTATAATGCTGAAACATAAAAAAAAACATTTCTCTAAATGTGACTTTTGAATACAGTTAATATTTTTATTTTAAAAACTAGATTTAAAACTCCATGCACATTTGCCTTATGTTTTTACTGTACTTTAAAAATATGTCCTGTGTTTTAGAAAGCAATATGTTCTCTAAATTCATACTAACATTACCTGGTAATTAATATTATCTTGTTTCATTACCACATTTGACAGCTTTAAGTTTACAGATACATACGACTTCAGGTCTAACGTCTGCCAATTTCTCTGCCTCATCCTTATACTGCAGAATGCTCCAGATTTCCTCCTTTAAATTCCCCCACCTCTCCTGCATTCGGGATTTTCTGAGACCCTGCATGGCAATCCTATAAAGAAAGTCGAACTCATTAGCAGTTAATTAATTAGACTAAAGTTTAAAGATTTCATTACCACAGGAGAAAGAAGTAAGGATGTTAAAACTACCTGTACAACAAGAAGGACAACCACTACACATAGTTATAATCTTGGAGTAAACTTGCCTTTCTTTCATCAATTCTTCAATCCTATTTTCTATTTTAGCATGGACAGTCTGCTGTACTTTGTCCCTCTTTTTGGTCATGTAGGAGTCTAGGGAGGGGAAGGATCTCATCTGATATACAAATAATGCCCCCGCACTCTCCGACTGATCCCCTCCTTCCTCTTCTCCATAGTCCTTATTGTTTCCTGGATAAAGGAGGTTTTTACATAAGTACAGGTTGACAACTACTGTTTGTAAATCTAGTAGAATTTTATACACTAAAAGAACTACCTGATTTATTCAAGCATGTATCAACCCAACACCCATCTTTCTATTTTAAAAACAAATAATTTTTTTTCTAAATCTCCTTTTGATTGATTGATGACAGGAAATCTGTTATCAATACATAAACAACACCTTTACCTGCTCATGATAGGACAGGTAAGGCTAATTTGTTTTGTATGGTGGAGAAATAAAACATTCCTATAGATCTGTATGTTTTCAGTAATCCATTATAATTCCATTACCTTTCAGAAACAAAAGTTGCCCCATAGCTCCAACAGCAACAACAGGGTCCCAGGGGGTCATAAGTTCATGGGACTTTGGTAGAACAGGTTCACAAAGAACCTTTCCTTGTAGAGTATCTCTGATTTGAACTTTCCCAGATTTCAGGATTGTTATTAGCTGAAAACAAAAATCAACAAGATGTGTTTGTGAAACACTGATGCCCCTGAATGGCAGCTCATTGCCAAGCTTAAAGTTTCTCAAATGGAAGTCAGACTCCAAGGTCAAGGTCAGCCGATAAAAAATGTTGGTATACAAGAAAAGGTCTTATCACAAGGAATACACATGTGAAATATGAAAGCCCTTGCAGCAGCCATTCAGAAACTATGTCAAGGGTTCAGTTTTTAAAAAGTAGATCAAACCCCAAGGTCAAGATATAGAGGTAAAAATTATTGGTACTTATGAAAAGGTTTTATCACAAGGAAAACATCTATAAAATATGGAAGCCCCAGCACCAAGCATTCAAAGATTATGGCCAAGGATAAAGTTTTTTTTTTCAAAAGTAAGTCAAACTCTAAGGTCAAGGTCAAAAGGTCTGAATTGTTAATACCAAAGGGAAGATTCTGGCACTCAGAATACACATGTGAAATATGAAAGCTCTAGCTCCAACCATTCAAAAGTTATAGCCAAGGTTAAAATTTTTCAAAAGTAGCTCAAACTCTAAGGTCAAGGTCAAAATTGTTAATACCAAAGGGAAGGTCTTAGGAATACACATGTAAAATAAGTGCTCCAGTACCACAAGGAATATGCATGTGAAGTACAAAATCCCTAGTACCAACAGTTCAAAAGTTATGGCCAAGGTTAAAATTTGGTAAAATTCTGCAAAAGTGGGTCAAACTCCAAGGTCAAGGTCAAGAGATCAAATATGTTGGCACTCAAGGAAAGTTCTTGTCACAAGAAATACACATTTGAAATATGAAAGCCTTAGTTTCAACCAATCAAAAGTTATGGGCAAGGTTAAAGTTTTTGCGGAGACAAATAGACAGACAGACAGGCAGACAGACAGAGCAAATCTACATGCCCATGAATCGTCAATTAATGGGGCATAAATATCACTGCCACAATGGCGAGGAACAAGGATATTTTGTTTATCAATCAAGAAGTATGTGTTTAACCTCAAATCAATATCTTATATTAGAAAATGTTTTCTGGTATTAGAACTCATCATTCATTTCTTACAATTGTGTATATGGCTATGGCATAGCTTGGCTCATTGGATGAATGTTCATTGTACGTAAAAAAGTTGTGATATTCATGTCAGCTATATCAAATCTTACATTCTGCAAAAGGCAATGACTTTTTTTTTGGTAAGAATATAAGCACTGCATATGAATATTTCTGTCACATTAGACTTTAAGAAGTAAGGTCATGTTATATAAGACACTGGAACAACAATGAACCATGATGCTGCATCTGGCCTGGTTCATAGGAAATGTGAAAGATCTTCACTTATGGTTAGTGATCATGATGTCTATAAATATGGGGCATTTAACATTATACCACTCAAATGATATTTGTAGTTTAGTTAATATCAGACGTAAGATACAAAAGGTATGCAATACTTACCAAATCATGCATTCCTTGTACAGGCTGCACCAGTGTAAATATATCATCTTCTTTCTCTACTCTGTGATAAAGAATATGTCTAATTATATAATTATCATACATGTAATAGGATGTATTGTGTTTCGTAAAAATTTTGTACACATCTTAATAAAATACTCAAGAAATGGTTTTAAAAACTAAATTTTGTGTGAGAACTATAAATCATTAAATATAACTTTAATATATAGAAGTTACTTACCGTGGTGTGACACAGATGGGGTCTAGTTCCAGACCAGGCCCCGTCATCATAACAAACAGAGCCCCATTGTCACACAGAATCAACAAGTAGGTGGAGGATTTAGTTCTGTATGGCTTATAATCATCCACTGTCTGGGGACAGATACTGGGATCCAAGAAGATCAGCTGTGCAATCTTAACTTGGTCCACAATGTTAACAACTCCTCTCTGTATACCTGAAAGAGTTATATCCCTCCAAGATAGATATTCTTCCACATAAAAAGCTTTTTGAAACTATCCAAGTCACAACTTACAACCAGATGCTGTGAAGAAGCTTACAGAGAGATAGGTTCACTTTATGCATAAAATGACCCTGACCATTTACATATAATAGACTAATACCCTATGTCCTAATTAAGCATCAATATAAAGAAAAGACTTGGTGTTTTCATTTTCTGTAGCAAGTTTCTTTTGAGAGTCCAAGTATTGGAAAACGGGCTTTGTGAAATTGCAGTGCTCCTGAATTTTGCAGAAAACAAGTGTATGAGTACCTTCAGCAAAGAATTAAACCAGAAGTCTCTGACAAGACTGTTGCTCTTCTGGTCTGTACTTATCACAAAAGAAGAGAAAAGTAGCACTTGGACATGAAACTACGCAATAGCAATAAATAGAAAAATGATCCTTGGTTTAGTCTCTTTTTGTGACAAGATTTATTGCAATCTGAATCAGACCAAAAATGCAGAAGGAATAGCATTTTGAAAGTATTTCTCAGAAATTTCTATTTTTAGTAACCATGGCAACACCATTCATCAAAATCAAAAAACCAATAAAAAGCATTATGTATCTTAGTGTAGTCTATCTGTGAGCCAAGATATATTGAAATCACATCAAAACTGTAAGAGAAATTGCATTTTTGAAAAATTGTTTACAGACGAACAGACAGATCACGGACACCTTACAATTGCATAAGCTCTTCTGGTCTCTGGCCACTAGTAACCAGTAGAGCTAAAAATGAGCACACCCCTTGATCCAAAAAATAAAACATGGTTTATAATCTATCATTATGTAATCTCACATTTTGGAATAGAGGTTGTGCTCTATAAAAAATATTTAAACAAGATGTGTTTGTGAAACACTGATGCCCCCGTATGGCAGCTTATGGCGAAGGTTAAAGTTTCTCAAATGCAAGTCAAAATCCAGGCAAAAGATAAAAAATGTTAAATTTAAAAGCCCTAGCACCAACCATTCAAAAGTTATGGCCAAGGTTAAAGTTTTTCAAAAGTAGGTCAAACTCCTATGTCAAGGTCAAAGGGTCAAAGTGGTTGGAATCCAAAGAGAGGTCTTGTCACCAGGATTACATATGTGAAGAATGAAAGCCCTAGCACCAACCATTCAAAAATTATGGCCAAGGTTAAAGTTTTTCAAAAGTAGGTCAAACTCCTATGTCAGGTCAAAGGGTCAAAGTGGTTGGTATTCAAAGGAAGGTGATGTCACAAGGATTACATATGTGAAGTAAGAAAACCCTAGCATCAAACATTCAAAAGTTATGGCCAAGGTTAAAGTTTTTCGAAAGTAGGTCAAACTCCTAGGTCAAGGTCAAAGGGTCAAAGTGGTTGGTATCCAAAGGAAGGTCTTGTCACAAGGATTACATATGTGAAGTATAAAAGCCCTAGCTCTAACCGTTCAAAAGTTATGGCCAAGGTTAAAGTTTTTCAAAAGTAGGTCAAACTCCTAGGTCAAGGTCAAAAGGTCAAAGTTGTTGGTATCCAAAGAAAGGTCTTGTAACAAAGAATACACTTGTGAAGTTTGAAACCCCAAGCACCAACCATTCAAAAGTTATGGCCAAGGTTATAGTTTTTCGAAAGTAGGTCAAACTCCAAGGTCAAGGTCAAAAGGTCAAAGTTGTTGGTATCCAAAGGAAGGCCTTGTAACATAGAATACACATGTGAAGTTTGAAACCCCAAGCACCAACTGTTCAGAAGTTATGGCCAAGGTTAAAGTCTCATAAAATTTTGCAAAAGTGGGTCAAACTCCAAGGTCAAGGTCAAAAGGTCAAATATGATGGTACCCAAAGAAAGGTCTTGTCACAAGGAATACACATGTGAAATATGAAAGTCATGGCTCAAACCAATTAAAAGTTATGGGCAAGGTTAAAGTTGACAACAGACAGACAAACAGACAAACAGATAAACAGACAAACAGATAAACAGACAAACAGACAAACAGACAGACAGGACAAAAACAATATACCCCCGGGATATTTCGATCCGGGGGCATAAAAACAGCTTAAAATTTGACCACTTGTAAAGAAATGTTCATGATGTCATAATGCACTGACTAGCAAAGCAAAACAATTACCGTTCATCATTTTCAATAACTATGCAGTCACCAAGGGTCCAAGCGGTATTTAATGCATTGTCAACTAAAACTGAGCAGTTTTGATTTTTCAGAAATTCACAGGGCCAAAAAAGAACCTTGCTCTTATGACAATGATGTTTGATTTTTTTTGTTTTACTTTAGCAGCATACCTAAATATCTGTCCCAGATCACAACATTCCCATTTTCAAATCCAACAGCCAATAAGGAGGAATCATCGCTGATGGAAGATGAGGTCACAGGGCTAGTAAATGGCCAGACTAAATCAGGCTTAACCTCAAAATCTACAATTCATTGCAAACATTTACATCACCAAAAGGAAAGTGGAAATTAGATACTTAACATGTTATTCTAAAACACAGTAATTATTTTTCTTTTATGCCTAAATGTATTAAGTCATAAGAATAGATAAAATCTACTTGACATGATATTATCACCTTTTTTTTCAAATTGTTAACAGAAATTCAAATATTGCATAATTTCTATCCCCCAAAAAGGATTGAAAAGGACACTAATATTAGTTTTTCATTTGTTTTTTTTTTTTTTTGTTTTTTTTTAAGTAATTTCTGCAGATCTAATAAAGTTCTGTCAAGATATCTGATTATAAATAAAAATTTTGTACTTTCTTTGAATATAACTTAATTGAAATATGGAAATTACTTTGTTTTAACCATGACACTGTTGCAATAATTTTTTTTTCACTTTTACAAGTTTATATTGTTGCAAACACATTTAAGGTATGTCACTCGTGAAATTTGTTATATCAAGGATTTTTTGAGAAGTATATATTAGATAAGTACTCATAAAGCATGTTTCAAAATCACAAAGAAAATGGGGGGTCAGTGTGCATCTTACTGAGCTACGGTACAAATAAGTTGACCTTTTTGCACTTAAATTGTAACTAATTGGTTAATCACTTTAATCTTAATCATATTTCATCAGATGTAATTATGGCAATAAATATAATCTTATTTTAGGTAAAATAGTTTGAATAATATTTATCATTGAGCATATCATGCAAATTAATGCGCTTAAATTATTGTATGACCTTTTTGCACTTAAAAAGTATCATATTTCGGGTATAAAAAATCTAAGTAGGCAATAAAATATTTTCCTGTATCAAACTTTTTATGAATTAAGTGCAGATCGGTTTGAGGTATTGTGTTGTTTGAAATAATGAAAGAAAAAATTGGGGTCAGTGATGTAAATTTTGAGATATTGGTTAAAATGTGCGATTTTCAGGCTAAAAACGGTGTAAATTTTATTTTGACTTCTCTAATATATCTTCATTTCTTGACAAAGTCTGTTGAGTGAATGTGCAAAATTTGTTCTAAAAATATAAATTGGGACCTTTATTTAATATTCCTAGCATATCAGAATGAAAAATATTCTCTAAGTAAAAATATGTGGGGTAAAGTTCCAAGATACTAAATTTGACAAATGTGTAGATTTGAAGGATTTAATCTTCTAAATATCCTTCCACCACAAGAAATAGTCCCTCATAAATCTTGCTTCTTTATGAATTTATGAGCAGTTTTTTAATTGAATGTGGAATAATTTGCATTGTTTAATTTAAATATGTTATAAAAATTGAATTGTAGTAAATAGTTTTGAAGTTAAAGGTTCTGACTGAACTTTTCTAAAAAGCTGACGAGTGACATACCTTAAATTCATTTTTAAAAAAGGTTCCTACAACAATGCTATTAATTCGTGTAACAGGTAACCACTTTTTTTTTAAAGATATACCTTTGTGTTGTTTGAGCAATGAGTAATGTACCATATGTGTGGATCCCTTCCACCACACAGCAATAGTTGTTGGCAATCCTGAAATAATTAAGGATTGGAAAATATTATAATGACTTCATAACACATTTATGAATAACTAAGAAACAATAACATGCATATGCCTTTTATTATGTGTGGCATTATTTAAAAAATTATTTAAATGATTGCTAGTATAATACAGTATTATTTCTAAAAACAAAAAAAAAACAGACTGAGGATAATACTTTCATACACATACAATATTAGTTTACATGTAATTCAAGAGTTTACCTTTGAAAAGCATTGTAACGTAATTGTAACGTACCAGGGTAAGTTCAAATGTTTAAAATCATGTATTGGATCTATATATCTTAATTATTCTAGTTCAGAACTATTTTTTTCTTGATTACCTTAAAACAGTTAATTGCTGAATAAATTGCGGGGAAATCATTCTTGAACTAAACTTAACACTATTCTATTATCTAACTCTATATGTCTTGCATTTTTTAACGTATGAGCTAGTATATATACCATTTCATTAATTGTTAATTAATTCTCTTAAACTTTCAGTTGAAGGAGACTAAATTTTTATATCAATCTAAACTTTTAAAAGCAACTGTGTGTTATGCATTTTGTAAACTTTCAAATTCAACAGAATGTTACATTATACACTGTACAAAGTTAACATGTAACTAAAAAGTTTTTGGTTAAGGTAAAGACCCAGTAAATGAAATGGGCATGTGTCTCAGATTTGAGACATAAATTCCTTCAGTGATACTTAATAACAGCTTGCTCAAATATCAAAAAAAAAAATAATTTTTAGCAAAACACAATGAAAAAAAATCTGCATTTAACATAGATTTTCAAGAAGAAAACCAATTATGAAGTGGAAGTAATCCCTTAGCAGCCAAATGAAATATATTCAGATTGCCTACTGTCTCTCAGAAAATGATAATTTTTATATTTTGAATTTTTGAGTGAAAATGAAATTAAAATGAACATGGGTATTCTGATTGTAATCAAATTACTTTTCAAATGAAAATGTTTCATTTTCTACATAATTCACTTATAGCCATAAGGTACAGGAAAAAGTGAGTTTAAATTAATTAAGATTTCATCATGGATGTAGCACCGAAAAGACAGTCTTAACTAACTCATTTACTAGATCTTTACCTTAATAAACTAAAGAAAAAAGCATGATGTTGAGGTGTATTGCAAGGAATATAAAAGCATGGTTATATCATTTTGTCACCCTTATAAAATATTACTCTTTAGTTCATCTTCATTGCCTGAAATAAAATTACAGGATTAACATACAGTCAGAAAAAGGAATGAGAGACTTTCACAAGGAGAAATAGAAAAAATAGACTTACATATATTATTAAATAATAGTTAGAAAGTTTATATAATGTACAGAGTATAACTACATAATATATGAAATAAGTCCCATGAAAGAATAAAGCACTTTTAATCTGATTTTGATTGACTAATATTTAATGGATAGACAATTGTAAAGATATACACATAATTAATAATACCTATCTGACTCTGCTGTTCCAGACCAAAGGGAACCAATCGCCCAGCTGTCATAAAATGGAAATTGACATCCCTGTCAGAAAATAAAAGATAAAAGTACGTTAATGTAGAAAAAACAAGTCAATGTGTCTGTGCATGGCTATAATCCAGTTCTCTCTTATCTTTACCAGTGAATCAAAATAGTTCCCAACAAATTACATGTATACAATGAAGAGAGAAGAATATGATTCCCTAATTTTTACAAATTATGAACACTTACTCGAGTGATTCCAGTTCCTCTTCCTTTGGTAAATAGTCAATAAGGTTGTCATGGAGATGAGCAAACACTTCTTTCCTCATTTCTTTGTGACTGGGAGTTAATATATGATTTATACCTGTACCGATAACCTCCCCTGCATCCACTTTCTGACAAGCTGAATACACTGAGGAGGAGGTGTTACCTGTCAATTAATTGTCACATGATATTTCATCACTTTTATTTATATTCTAATTGTTAAATCTTTTCTATTTAATGTTGAAAGCCTTATTTTCAGTGCTTGGATAATGATCTCAACTAAGCCTACTTAGCTATTCATATAAATTTACAATAACTTGATTTCAATTCCAATTACATTTCATTGTTAGTGGGGGTTTTTTACCCTCAGCAAACAAAGTTTGGGGTAGGGATGGGGGTGTACCTAGGAATCACTTTGTTCATCTCTCAGCATTCATGTATGGGCCATATAAACTTTGTAATTGAGAAATATTGGAAGTTCATACTTGACACAGATTACTTATGACCTGAAGGTGTGTCATGACTTTGATCCAAGGTCATTTCATGCAAGACCAAGGTCACTTGCATAAAAGTGAATAAATTGTGTCCAGTTCATAACTTTCTTATGGAGAATCATTGGAAGTTCATATATTATACAAAAATTACCAATGAAGATGTGTCATGATCTTGATCCAAGGCCATTTGTGGTAAGTTCAAGGTCATTTTTAAATTCTCAACTTATAAAATTCCTTTTCTGACTATATCTTGTGATGGAGAAACAATTTAAGCTCATATTTAAGAAAAAGATTGCTCATTACCTGTAGATGTATCATGATTTTAATGCAAGGTCATTTGCACAAGTTCAAAGTACATGTAACAGGCAGAAAAACTGTATAATTTGTGTCCAGCAACTTTCTAATAGAGACATTTGAAGTTGATACTTCAAACAAAGATTACATGTAAGCTGAGGGAATGTCATATCCTTGACCCAAGGCCATGTCATTGCCAGTAAAATTGTAAAGAATCATAGGAAGTTCATACCTCACACAAAGATTATGTATGACCAGGAGGAATGTTACTTTCTTGAACCAAGGTCATTTGACAAGTTCAAGGTCACTTAAAAGAAAAGGAAAATTGCACTTTGGCCCTTTAAAAAGATTGCAGCATGGAGGAAGGGGGTAATTCTATGAGCTTGCTCATAGTATCTCTAGTTTTTTTTTATTTGTTTACTGTTTTTTCAAGCATCTTTCCTGATAATTCCATATCCCCAGTCAATATCCTGCAACCTTGATGACATAACCCTGACTAATGATAATGTTATTTACATGCACAATAGGCAACTACATATTTGCAAAGTCAAAGTAATACATGTCAACTTTTGCCCCTTTTCAGCCTTTGTTGAGCATGTAATAAATGAAATATTTCAGTGTAATTAATTAAAAATTTTTGTGTAGCCACTGACAATAATCAGACATTTTTGTGGGTGGAAACTTTGTCTTTCAGAATCTCAGATGTTAAGCTAGTGAGTGAGAAATGATGAAAAATAAAATTACTAACACTGCAAACTTGTTTTTATATATAATAGCATGGATTTTTTTTTTTAAACAAGATGTGCAGGTGAATCAGAAGTGCATTTGCTTTAAAGTCAGTGGTGAATTAAATAACAAGTGGTCCATAGGCCACAACGCTCACCGGAGTCACTATATATGGCTCTGATGTTCTTCATCAGCAGAATTTTGCCCCTTTATATATATATATATATACATGTATTCTTTTTTACTGGTGGTCATGTTTTGAAGAAACTTGAATCTACACTAATTCAGAATGCTTCCATATAATTATGACTAATCATAGCTTTGCTGTTATTGAAAAAAATATTTTTAAGATTTTTTCCTATATATTCCTATGTTAAACTCATTGTGGCCCCACCCTATGGGGGGGGGGGGGGGGGAGAGATTCATGATTTGACCAAACTTAAATCTACACTACTTTAGGGTGCTTCCATATAAATATGACTAATCATGACTTTGGTTCTTGAGAAGATTTTGAAAGATTTTTTCCCATATACTCCTATGTAAAACTTTGATCATCAATTGTGGCCCCACTCTACCTCGGGTGTAATGAATTGAACAAACTTGAATCTACGCTACCTGAGAATGATTTGTATAAATAAGACTAATTAATATGGCTTTGCTATTCCTGAGAAGTTTTTAAATATATTTTCTTGTACATTCCTGAGTAAAACTTTGATTGGCCATTCTGGCTCCAACTTACCCAGGAGGTCATGATTTGAATAAAATTGAATTTATATTCTCTGTAATGAAGCTTCATGAAAGTTTCTTCTTTTCTGACCCATTGGTTCTTGAGAACACGATTTTTGAAGGATGCCATTAAAATTTTACTAATTCTTAATTATCTCCTCTTGAGGGAGGTCCTTCATTTGACCTTCACCCAGGGATGGTCTATGCCAAGTTTGATTGAAATTGACCCAGCGGTTCTGGAAAAGAATATATGAAATTGTGAAAAGTTTACAATCACTACAATGATGACAACAACAGACAACGGACAACTTTTGATCAGAAATGCTCACCTGAGCTTCAGGTGAGCTAATAAAAGGGAAAAATCATAAATTATTTTAGTAGCAAATGTAATAAAAAATAAATATTAAAAAGGCCTTGTGAAAAGGAATTTTCAGGAAGAATACAAGAAAAAGGAGAAGAGATTTTAATCACCTTCACCTAGGAATGGAAAACAATTGAACATTTTTAAAGATATGAAAAATCTTAGCAAAAAAAAGAGAGAGAGAAAAGAAAAAAAACAGCTGAAAATAAAATGTTCAGATTGTGAAGCAATGCTAAAATGAATTGTATTTGTATAAGCTGGTCCGTGAAGCATGCCCCAGGCCTTCCAACCAATAGCCAGAAAATTAAATTCTTTATTCTGTATTCTACATATACTTGAAATTATAGACATTCAATTTCATAATCTTTTGCCCACATGCATGAGGCAAACACTAACTATTCACCAAATACCAAATTAAAGGTGAATGTAAACCATTAAGGTATCATGCTAAAATTATCATGACATAGTCATGTGAAATATATAAGCATAAAACTTCTTGCTCCAAAAAAAAAATTAGACTGTCCAAATTACATATCATTGATATTAAACTATTACTCAGTCACCTACATGTACAATGGACAGAATTGCAATGGCCAAACAAAGAAGTTTGATGCAAATGCATGTACATGTACCATGTAGAGGTTAAGACATCAACAATGCATGGAAACATTCGATCTGCTTCACAATCTGACTGACAGAGTATAATAAAAAAAGTAGTAACATAAACTGATAATACAGAGAAATTACCTTTTTGTCTAAGTTCTGAAAAGTTGGTCTTGCATTTTTTATATCTATTTTGTACCATATTGTAAGGTTTACAATTACCATTCACAACCATAAATATATAATAAAAAAAATCATCCACATAAAGCATTTTCCACAGATCATTTCTTTTTTGTTTTGTTTGTGACCCACAAGCCTGTTGACCTACATTACTGACTTACCCGAGATGGAGGGAGGAGGTTTAAGTTTCATCACCACAGAGGTAGGGGACAATTTAGGCATCTGTTTCTCTCCATGACTCTCTTCTTGACTCTTTATCAAAATTCAAGTTAAAATTTTACAATTTAAAAACTATTTACAAATAATTTTTATTTAAAAGGATATTTTTTTCCTTCAATCAATTTTATTAGCATATTTCTATTATCTATTAGAGTGTATAATTTGATAAACTAATAAAAATGCACATACTGAATATCAAATTTGTTCAGACTGATTAAAATCAATATTGGATAAAAGAACCCTTTTCAAAATATAATTTTGATTGAGCACATTCAGTGTAAAATTTGGAAGAGTACACGTGTTTTGTAATGAGAGATTTTCTTCAATAAATGAATCAGTAACTGCTATCAATTAAATTAATATTGCTCTATGAACATGTATGTGTATAATATGTTAGCAAAATTTTGTTAAAGAGAACCCTGCTTGCAATGTTCAATAATAAGGAAATTAAGGGCAATAATTAAACTCTTTCTCTATAATATGAAGAGAATAGAGAACAAATGTGTAATGTGTCCTGCAATTTAACACATGTATATACATGTTAGAGTATCCAAGACATGTACATGTATATAATACAACATATAATGAGGTGTGGATGTTCTGAGAAGTAAGGCGTTCCATTCAGCACGTACAGTACAACAGAAGTGACGAGAGAGAGAAGTTCTCCATGCCAAATATTTGGAATGGGTTAAAACATTCACTGTTAGCAGATTTTGGACAAAAAAACAAAGACTGATACTTTGAGATCAAGATACACCATATAATAGATACACCTAGTAATTTGCAGATGATAATCAAAATCATTCAAGAAAAATAAATAACAAATGATTGCCTTGAATCATAACAAATGCACAAAAAACATTATTTTCAATCATAAAATCTTTCAAGGATCAAATTTCAAACTTCCAAAATCATCAAAAAAACTGTAATTTGATTCACACGACTTTCTGGATTTTACAAACTTATATTAAACTATGAATCAATAAAGTTACGAAAAAGAGTCGCGAGTTAACTCTTAACATCATAATCCAAACCACCTGTATTGATCTCAAAGTAGATATTTTACAGGACTTTTAGGGATGGAACAATGGGAACAAATAATTTATATCTTACAGAAGCCGCCATGTTAACAGACTGCCTAGATGATGTTCGACTAATACTGCGATTTCTGGGCTGATTAAGAAATTCAAAATCTTTGGTAAAACTTTAAATACATTTAAAACTACTCAGTAACACACCCACAGAAAATCAATATTAAATATCCATTATATTGTTTTGATGTGTAAACTACCTGGGTAACAGGTGGGGAAGGATCCACTTCAGTTTGAGTGGGGGCTTCTTCATCTGTTGTGGCTACAGGTTCAGTACCTTGTTCCTGAGGATCCTCCTAAAGTACATGTACATCAAACATTCACATATGTTTATCTTTTTAACAATCACATATATGTTCATTTCACAATTACACATGTTTATTTAACAATTACATAGATTTTTTAACAATCGCCAATATGTTTATAATTTCAATCACTATTAATGTAAGTTTATTAAAGAAAATTAAATACATGCAAGTATCTTTATTTTACAATCTCAAACACTTAATTTACAATCACAAATGATTATCTGCCAATAAAATATTATCTTAACATCTAGCTGACTTGTCCCACATAAATGTTTAATTCACAATCACACATTTATTTCACAATCACACATTTATTTCACAATCTTAATATCTTTCAAATGAAAACTTACTGTTTTTTCTTCCTTCTTTGCCTGTGCTAGAACTGATTCTAACTCACTCAGCCACGCATCCCTAGGAAGTTTGTAAACCTCCAGCCATACTTCAGCTGTTTCTGGATCTGAAGACAGGGAGGATTAATTAAAATATGATTTGAATGCATCTATTAACTTAATTAAATGAGCTTTGAATTAATACTCATTTCTTTCATTTCAGCAAAATTTATAGAATTATAGTAATTTGAGCTTTCATGTATACATGTAAATAAACGAATTTTTACTGGGTAATGAGGATACAAATTCTGTTTATAATCTTTATCAGTATATAACACATGTAAGCTCCAGCTGATGTTGTTCATGATTACAAACTCTAGCTGATAATTATAAAATTAAAAAATATATATTTCTGTTAATTATATTCCATAAGGCAATTTCTACATCTCATTTTTCAGGCCTTACATATTTTGCAATTATCAATTTACAACATGTATACTCACTTTCAAATACTGCGCCGAGATAGTCACCATTTCTTGATGCCTCACACTTAGTTATGATCAGCTTTGTTCCACCCTCCTGTGAGAAAACGTACAATAAAATTCATTATACATATTATAATCACTCTACTTTTCCTATATTCAGATGTTTTGTAATTTTATATTAAAAAGAGAAATAGTGTGCATATAGATACATTTTTTTAAGTGAGATGAGCAAGGTGTACATAAAATTAATTTAAAAAAAGATATTATTTCCATGACTGTCACTCTGTATTTAAGCTTCTGCATTTATCAAAGCTTGCATGGCTACTATTGCAAAAGCAGAAAAAAGATATTGCAAATAAAAGGAATAGATGCTTAAGCAAAAGTTGTTCCTGGTACAAGGTTTCTAACTTTGTTGTCTTTTTCTAAGTACAAGAGAAATATTCATTACAATGTGACTATAAATAGCATATTGCATTTTTTAAGTATGGGCACATCTATACTGTGTAATAAATTTTGTAAATATAATCCTGAAAAGCTTCAAGCATATACTGTAGATATGTACAAATTAGTTTTTTTCTGCGAGGTATTAATTTACACTAAGAAAGCAGTTGCAACTTTTCAAGGGAAATTTGTCATAGTGTACTTAAATCATGATAACATAATCTTTTTTAGCATACAGGGTATTTGCTTATTTATTTTTTCACACATGGATTAAACCAAAATTCTAATTCTGCAGAATTATGACCACATGGAAAAAAAGTATGATTACAGTATGTAAATGTTTATACACATATATCACAAGAAGAAAATTTGTGTACAGACTAATGATAATATTTTATTATACATATATCACAATTGGGAAAATACTTCATAAGAATTTACTTCAAGTTCATTTTTAAATATGTACTAGTATACACTATCATTAAATGTTGGAAATATGTATGTAACAAATTTATTGTTGCCAATCAGTAATTTATACATCTTTAAATTTCTTCACATCAAACTTGCAGATTCTATCTAGCTTCTTCTTTACACACATTACTCACTGCATGAGCGGGGTTAGAGAAAATAGGCCTATGTGCCCCGCCTCTACCTCTCTGTCAATATTAATGAAGGAATGCAAAATTGTTAGTTAGAGTAAGTGCTTAAAAGTCAGTTGAGCTTGTCATATAACAGTACTAAACTCATTTCACTACTGTGAGTAAACTTCTGTCTAAATCTACAATAAATTGCAACATGCACTACACACAAAGCCCCCAGATCATAGTCATACATTTACTACACATGCACTACTCATAATAACCCAAAGATCATAGTAATACATGTACTACACATGCACTACACATAATAACCCAAAGATCATAGTAATACATGTACTACACATGCACTTAATTTCCATTTTCAACTGCATTGTACCCAAGTAGGCTCTCATTGAGCATATCTATCTAAACTAAATCTATTACATTTTAACTTTTAAAGCATGCACCCCCCCCCCCCCCAATAATAAAGCAGTGTTATGTTTTTATCAAAACATTTACAGATATAGGTAAGTGATATGATAAATATTTCTTTTCATAATCATGATAATATGATCTTTTTTGAACTCAGCAACTTCTTTTAACCATTATTCACTGCACATTTTTACAAGTCATGTTAAAAGTTATTATTGACATGAAAAACTATGTTGTTTTCTGACATATCTTTAATTAGTCTTTTTTATTCAAGCCTTTTCTCCTTTCAGCTCTTTTGTTAAGCAGTACTTTTATCTTAATTGTTGATTAGCAAGTTTTGAGTCACAGACATTGCTGGATACCTGTAATTCACTTCCAAAATCATCTGACTATAAGAATGGGTAGAAATTGTAAACAATTGTACATGTATGAGCATCTCTCTCTCCCTCTCTCTCTCAAATGAAATCAAATCAAATCAGGAAATATATATATACTACATGTATCAAATCAAATTCCAGCTAGTTTTTGTATTCAAGAACTCGAATTACAAAGAAACATTTTTTTTTGTACAAAATAATGATGTAGATAAAATATGAAATAAAATTGGTCATAATATAAAAGACAGGATAACTGTTTCAATTCATCATTCTACCTCTGAGTCAAATATTAATTGAACACTTTCTTACCTGAAACTCGTTCAAAATCTTTACGAAGTAAAATTTGTCACCCCCAAATATGAACAATCGTGCAAAACCTGTAATCAAAATAAAATGTGTCAGCAAGTAAAATATATATTTAACATTTTGGTAACTGTAATGTTACTTAATCTATTGATGTTTTTAATGTTCAGGACTAAATTCAAATGTGGTATAAATCTGTTTGTATTACATGTTGCAATTCAAGATTTATTGATAAGATTATGAAACCAACACAATTCTTTACCTTAATAATCAACACATTCTGTCTCAATATTAATGACTTGTATATATACCCATATCATCGATGGTGGTAACTAGATAGACCTGAACACCAATTAAATAAGCCTTCACATAGTGTATATCAACACTCTCTTCCTCCCAAGTGGCTATTCTTTCTTGTGTCAATGAATCCACTGCTGCCAATCCTCGGGGAAGTCCAATGAAAATGTATCGTCCATCAACACTGTCACATATACAGCAGGCCCTTCCATGACTCTGTGGAGGTCAAAGGATCAACTGGTTAAGTGGTTAACACCAGTGAAATTTAAGTATATGAGGTTTTTCTACAAATGAACATTCATTTTTAGCATACTTTTTAAACAATCCTCCTTAATATTACAGTTTTTAAAACAGTCTATATAAATATAATTACAGATCAGTACTACTTTACCCATTTTGATTGCAAATAATCATTCCTACAACTAATTCTGATGTCTTAAAAAAAAAACAAATTAATATTTTGTGAAGAATTTAAATTTAAGCCTGAATAAATGTATACGTATTTTTTTCATATTAATATATTCACTAGATCTATTTTATATATTCACTAGATCTATTTTAAAATTAAGAAAAAAGTGACAGTTTGAAAAAGAAAATAACATCGGACAAAATCTGTTAAGCTAAATCAAAGATAACAACAAAAATATATGCATTCAACACTGTCAATACACTCAGCAACTGTACAGTAACGTTTAAAACATTGACACCTTCATTTGATTTGAACAGTCATACTGTGGCGGGCGGATTCTGCGGCTCTCCTCTAAACGCTCATTTTCACGCTTCTCTATGATTTCCCATACTTCATCATACCACTGTGTAAGAACCTTGTCTATCATACGATATGGCTGTGGAAGTCTATCGACCAGTTGATCGGGATCTGTGATGTAGTCCTCGTCATCCTCCAAAGGGAACTTGTCGATTGATGGCGGAGTAAAATTAACGTTCTTTCTAATGTAAACAGGCATCTCAGTAATGTAGTGTTATGCAAAAAAAATCTTGATTGTATAGTCACGCTTTTGGTTCCCTTATTCAAGTCATTACAGTTAATTTTTTTCGTTTCTAAGCCACAACAATCTACCGGAAATGAAAACAAAGTTTTAGAATAAGTGGCATTACGAACACGAAGATAATTTCTAAAATGAAAAGATTTTTATCCTTCAAAAAATTTGCCAAAAATATGTATATTCATTGATTTTTATACATTTTAAAATAAATTCCATTTTAGGCGTAATTTATTTTTTTTTAAAGAGAGAAAAATGTCATTTGTTGGAAATCTTATCGGGATCGTTATAAATGAAACACGACACAAATTCTGAACTTTGATCTCAGCCCAAATAATGATTTGACGTTTGTTCTGGAAGTTTTTGAGTATAGTACGTAATTATTATAAGTATGAGCAGTGATATAGTATCAGGGATAATTAAATTTGGTGGCCTGACAAATGGCAGAGACAAATTTTTCAGGTAATAAACGTAAAAAACTACACTACATGGCTAATCCGAATTCTCTCTCTCTCTCTCTCTCTCCATTTCTTAATCACATATTTGCGATCTTTTGTCTATTTTGTGTAGAGATCAAATTATTCTGAATAGTTAAGCTATATTATATAACATGATGTAGAGTAAGCAAGGAATTGTACAGAACTGGAGAAATGATAGATTACGAAATCTCTGTTTTCAGTATATAGTCATGATAATTATTATTTTAATGAAAAAGGTGAAGATAACGAACAGTGATCGAGTTAAAAAAAATCAGGAAAATATAAATATGTGAACAGGGCATAAAACACGAACCCTAATCTCAGCGAGATCCGTAGAGACTAAAAATTTTGGTCTGGTGTCTCTACGTAGAGACACCAGACCAAAATTTTTAGTCTCTACGGATCTTGCTGAGTTTACACGAACCCCAGAAACTGATTAGTGTAATTTAAAAAACCTTAAATACCTATTGTAAGTTAAATTAAAAGTTATAAGTGTTAATTAAATGCAAAAATTATCTGTTGAAATTTTGATTCATACCCAAACTGTTTTTGTGACATTTTCCCCTCAGTCATAAATACTATGTACCACCAAAAGCATGAAGTGCAGGGCAGCATTCATGACCGTTGCAGCGATGTAGCTCTATGTGGAGCTACAATCTTGAATGATGTATGCTAGCCTAGCAGCTATGAAGGGATGACAAGCATTAATTTATACAGTGCTGTTGTATTCAGTAGACCGAGATATCATGGTAAGATGCCAGGATATTGAACACAGCCCCAGTTAAGGTATACTAACATTGTTATATAAAAAATGCAAAGAAATAAAAGAAGATGTGCTTGTGAAAAACTGATACTCCTGTATGGCAGCTCATGGCAAAGGCTAAAGTTTCTCAAATGCAAGTCAAACTTCAAGGTCAAGGACAAAAAATAAAAAATATTGGTACCCAAACAAAGATCTTGTCAGAAGAAGTACACCAGTGAAATATGAAAACCCATAGCACCAACCATTGAAAAGTTATGACCAAAGTTAAGTTTTTCAAAAGTGGGTCAAATATTAAGGTCAAAGGGTCTAAATTCATGGAACTCAAAGAAAGATCTTGTCAGTTGTCACAAGGAATACAACTGTGAAATATGAAAGCCTAAGCACCTACTATTAAAAAATTGGCTAAGTTTAAAAGTTTTTCAAAAGAAGTTCAAACTCAAAGGTCAAGATCAAAGATTCAAAATTGTGGTAGCCAAGGGAAAATTTTGTCACAAGGAATACACCTGTGAAATATGAAAGCCCTAGCTAGTACCAACTTTTCAAAAGTTATGACCAAGGTTTAAATTTTTCCAAAACCAGATCAAACTCAAAGGTCAAGGTCAAAGGGTCAAAATTGTTGGTACCCTAGGAAGGGTCTTGTCACATGGAATACACTTGTGATGTATGGTACCCAAAGAAGGGTACTGTCACAAGAAATATGCATGAAATATGACAGCCATAGCTCCAACCAATCAAAAGTTATGGGCAAGGTTAAAGTTTTTGTGGACAAGCAGACATACAGCAAGACAGATGGACAGACAGAGCAAAAACTATAGACCCCCAAATCTTTGATTACAGGAGCATAAAAAAATCACTGATTGTCACAAGTATTAGACAGTGTAGATTAATGACTCTAAGCTAAGCTTTTTAATTTTATTAATTTGGAATGCATATTATCGAAAGTTAAAAAGAATATATTCAGCTAATTAAAAAAAAGAAGAAAAAATTGATATTATAGTGGGGATTCTTTTATTTTCTTAAAATGGCCTATTGATCAAGAAAACCATATGAGATGTCTAAGCACCATTCAAACCTTTGATTTCAAATTCATATTGGATTTTTGTTATCATTGAAGCATGTTAAGTCAAAGCATTCAATTTTGCAAGTCAGAGACTGAATATATAAATATGTATTAAGTAGGCTATTTGTTATTTGTCAGAGTAAAAAGTTATGATAATACAATGCCTTAAAAATTATTGCCATATTAATATTATACAGTCATAACAAATCAACATTTGAGGGAAGTTGAGGTGATATTGATATTTTTCAGGTCAAAATCAAACCATATGAACTGAGATGATATTGATATTTTTCAGGTCAAAATCAAACCATATTAACAACCTCAGACATCTTTAATTGTTTTATCACATGGTTAAAAATAAAAACAAAACAAAAAAACAAAAAATGATGACTGCATAGCGACAAAATTTTTACTTTTAAACTAATATACAATTGACAAGTTACAACATCGCTCCTTTTTTCACAGTGTAAGGCATCATTTTCCATTACTGTGTTTTGGAAAGCAATCTGGGAATGACTTGCAGATTGTTTTTTCTTCATTTATTATTATTTATTATTAACATTTAACATGTTTTAGCAAAATTTAACCCTCGAACATGCTGAACATAAAACTGAATCCATAGTATCAGAGATCTGTTTTTTTTTTTTGTTTTTTTTTTTTTTACCTTTATTGGTCAAAGATGGGAAATGCTTAGTCATCTAGCTTTTTATATACACTATATCTACATGTGTATTTGTCTGTAAAGTGTAAACAATTTTTCAAAACACTACTCTTTTACAGTTTTGGTGTGGTTTCATTTAATCTTGTTGCATAATTCTATCAATAAGTTTTACAGTTTTCAATTGAGATACACACTAAATTGTTACCAATTTACCATGGTTACTATTATAAATAGATTTTAGAATATGCTAAATTTCATTAAAATGCCAGTCCTGTTACAAAATGGAGCTGCATGTACAAATCTTATTATATATGACAACTTCTCTTGGAATTGGCTTTCTATGTCAGTATCAGTAAATAAATTCATTTCAATTTTGTCTTACTAGTGCATGTAAACAGAATTTGAATTGAGAGGGCTTTGCATTTATTTTTTCTTTAAAAAAAAACAAAATAATCTAATCAAAAGAACATTATGGATTATTTATGCCTTCTTTGATTAACTTCCATTTAGTCTGAATTTAGTACAGTACAATTTGAAATATTTTACAGATGATGGTTTACAATGTTCTCATAACATTCTCTTATCACCAAGTGAAAAGACGACCTCAATATCCTGTAATGTTACGTATATCCCTAGTTAATGACCTCTGTGTCACAGAATATTCTAGATAGTGACACTAACTGACTAAGTTTACAAATGTTCTGAATATATTTCAGTTTGGATATAATTATATCCAGCTTTTAGATAGACAGTGTAAAAATTAACATTATGATTTTGGCAAAATTTTATTACATGAAATACTTTGCCTGCAAGATTGATTAACATGAGCATGATGAGTATATATATATTATGTTTTTGGCTCTTCTGTCCACGAAATAATCAAGCAATCCTTGGTTCTTTCAAAATTTGACATAGTTAACTTATATATAACAAAATAATCAGGATAATAGTCTGATCATGAACTGAAGCATTCTAGAATTTGTATTTAAAAATCATTAAATGTTTCTTAAAAAAAAAAAATTCAATAAGAAGGATACTGAATGAATTCAAATAAGTTTGCTAAATGCACTTGGGTTGGTCAGGGATCACCAGGTTTGTTCGCCAGTGGTCAGAATTGAAGCTCAGTTGGTACTTTGTAGAACATCTGTGTAAAGTTTGGGGGGCCCAGGATGAAATCCTAGCTGACTATTACACACTTAAATATTACCAAAAAAGTCACAATACAGTATCCTTGTTTATTAACCCAGAAGTAAAATTTTATTTGCTAGATTATTACTTTTATTTGAAATTTTAATAGACTGGTTCAGTATTCAGTAAAGCTGATTTGGTGGAATCTGAGAAACAAAGAAGATGTGGTGGAGAGACTTAAGAAGATCGAATCATCAATGAGCATGACTCGTAAATGTAAGCCAACTAAACTTATTGATCAATTCTACATATTGTCTTGCTTATGAAAAAAAAACATACATGTATTACTGGTATATGAGAATTTCACAGTTTAAAAGATGAGAATTTGTGTGTGCTGCAGTGATGTTACGTATAGTCTCCTTCGGTATAATAAAAGAACAATTTGTAAATTGTTACTTACAAGTCTGATGTAAACCCATTATTCTATTTTTTTTCAGTGCTGCGTTTGGGAAAGAGTCTGGACTTCATTCAGGCGGCACTGAAATCCCTTCACATCACCGATGATGTCATTCGATGGACAGTGACCTTGTCAAAAATTAGTCAATCCATTTTTCTGTTCTTTGATCATATTATTTATTTCCATAACCTTGGTGTGATAAAAACGGACAAGGCCAAATGGTCCAAAGTTTCTGCTGAGTTTTGGTTCTTTAGTCTTGTTTTGAATTTAGCCCGTAATTTTTATGATATTGCAAATATTGCTAAATTAGAAATGAGCAAGCAAGATAAAAAGGAAAATGAAGTTCAGTACAGCAACGGAGATATGTCCAGCAGGAAAAGCCAAAGTCCTGGTCCTTTGTCGATTGTCCAGAGATGTGTTTGTGACAATAAGCCTGTATTTTTAGACTTGGTGAAGAATGCATCAGACCTTATATTGCCACTAAATACATTAGGAAAAGTTGACGCCAGTGCTGGGGTCCAAGGTTTTCTAGGAATC